TTGACGACACGGGCAACATAAAATTCACTTATGAGTTAGAAACAGAAGGCAGCATAGCATTTATGGACATGAAAATCACCAGACAGACCGACGGGACCCTAAACATAAACACATACAGGAAACCAACACACACAGACCAATATCTATTATGGACATCAGAACACCCCACCATACACAAAATGTCAGTAATCAGAACATTATATCACCGAGCAAACATGGTAACAGAAGAGAGAGACCGTAAACAAGAGAACAGACACATACAACACGCTTTAAAGACCTGCGCATACCCGACATGGGCAATAAACAAAGGAAAACAACAAACAAAAACAGAAAGCAAAGAACAACCCAAAAAAAGAACCAGAAACCCAGAAAGACAAGAACCAAAACCAGTGATAACCCTACCATACATCAGAGGCATAACAGAAAAAATAAGAGCAACAATGAAAAAACACAACATAAACACACCAACAAAACCATACACAACAGTTAGAAACAGACTAGTGCACCCAAAAGACAAAATATCAGCTGGACAAAAATGTGGAGTCATCTACGAAATCCCATGCAAAATATGCAATAAAACATACATAGGAGAAACCGGACGCCAACTCAATACACGGACAATAGAACACAGAAAGGAGTGCGAGAAAGAGGCAAATCGTAAACACACAAGAGCAGCAAAAGAAGAAGCAGAAAGTACAATAAAAAAGTCAGCCGTAACAGATCATTGCTTAAGAGAAAACCATATAATGGACTGGGACAACACACGGATCATAACCACCGAACAACAAAAATACAAAAGATGGATCAAGGAAGCAATCGAGATAAGGAGACGTGGATGTGGGACCATGAACAGGGACGACGGAGTTTACACGCTGGACCACGCATGGGACTGCATCGTCGGAGAGGGGAGAGCGGGCAGTAGAGGGCGACAACATCCTCTGCTGCCCGCAGATAAACGGAGAAGGAAGTGACGCGCCACCATCAGCGTCAGCCTGAAGAAGCCGGCAGCCGTCGGCGAAACTGTAGCTACAAACAGGTAAACAAAACTGTTTCTGTGTTTAAAAAAGAACGAAAGCATGGATTTAGAAAGACACAGCAAGAACACACCTAAGATGTTCATAAAACTTGTCTGCACTTGAAAAGGAATCCTAAACAATGGAAATGTCCAAGCTGTAGAAAAGTTATCAACTCACAAAAAAGAAATCTCTGACAAGCTGAAGAGTAATAAACAAATGTGGGTTGCCCTTATTTGTAGCCCGTAATAGCACACTGGCACAGCTTCAAGACTAACACATCAGTCTGTTAATTAGAAGTATGTCACATACAACAAGAGGCTGATGAAAGTAAGATTCATTTGTTATTCATGTTTGTATTTAACATGCCAACAAAAATGTTACAATTTTCTGAAGACTAAGAATCGTTCCTGTTTGGTCTGTTGTAGTAAATAAAAATGAAAGTTCACATCTGTGATGACTTAAAAGAGCTTGTCAGCATTTTTTTGTCTGCCAAACTATGGAAAATATATTACAAGTTCGCTGAAAGGGCACAACAGATTCACAGACATTGGTAAGAGCACAACAAACTGTTTTGTCAAGGTATGTCACATCATTTTCTGTGTCAATGTCAGTGAAACCTATGGAAACAGTACTTTGCAAAATTGTGTATTTTTGACGTAGAACTCCATTGACTCTTTCTATGTGTATTCTAAGAGATGCTAAGCATCTCGTGTCTTCCAGGTCAAAAGGATCTAACTGTTTCTTCCCACAAGTGAATGCTGGAAGCTTCAATTCAGCCTGATAAGAGTTCACTGAGTCTTTGACACTGAAACCTCTGTCTGTCAAAACCAAGTCACTTGGGAGCAAATTAGAAAGAAAACCGCTTTGCTCTGTGATGAACTTGTCGCTTGTGCGACCTCCCCATCCATTGGAAATGAAACAAATAGAACCTTGTGGGGTGATTGCAATTAAACATTTCATGGTGTGGTGTGACTTGTATGCGGAATAACACTGAGCACTGGCTAACAAGTGACTTGGTTTCTCCAGAAATATCTCAAAACAGTCAATAATACAGACTGTCTTTTCAAACACACCATTCCTAAATGCATAGGGAATAGATTCTCTTAAGGATTCCCTTTCAGGCCAAATAAGACTTGGCACTAGTGTACAATACATGACACAGTGTTTGAAAAGCTTTGAGACAGTAGTTGAATCGATGCTAAAATAAAATGCCAAAAAAAAATCAAAAGACAGGTTCATTCTCATTTTGATTAAAGCTAAGATATACTGCTGAAATAACGTTAGGCTAGATTTGTGCTTTAGATAGGGCATTATAACATTAAAAATGACCATAAGTTGAGAATATGAGCATATTAACCTTCCTGTCACTTTTTTGTAGAGTAGTCTCATTTATTTCAGTACATGTAATTTTTAACATGTTTTCATTTCTCAGTGCTTGGCATTCCAGCTCTAGAGATTTGATTTGTTTCTTGCAGGTTTCACTGGAACACACCGTTGTTTCTGGATGGCTGCTGTCGTGTGTAGGCTCAACTTCATTCATTCTGATTTTGATGAAGTCAACCCATTGACTTTCATTCTTTTTGTTTTCGTTCTTCCGGGGACCCATGGTCTGGAAATAGATGGGCGTGACTTTGGATCTGCCTAGAGACAGTTAGTCCTTTAAAGCCTGACACATGAAATCATATTCTGAAAAGTGGATTTTAAATTTTGAAAGGTTTTTGACTAATATTAATACAACAATAATTTACTTTTACAAAAATAAACTAAATAGAATTCATACTCTTGGCAACTTTAGCTTCCACCAGAGGGCAGAAAACAGGTTTACGATTCAATGAAGCAGCTTTTTGAGGAAAAAAAAATCTTATTAAAATTATTTAAAAGAAACAGCCCTTATAAACTATGTGTGGGCCTATAGATATGAAACAATTGTTGTTAAAGTGTCAAATTGACATTAATATGTGGTGACACGCAATAGCTTTTCAATAACACTTACCATTACAATTAAGGACTGTACATAGAATAGTATATGGGGGAAAATAGTACTTTGTTTTATCATGACTCAAAGAGAAATCAGCACAAATTGGGGGGGGGGGGGGGGGGGTAGATTTATAAGACCCCACCAATGTCAAGAGCAAATCTACGCCAACGTGTCCAACAGATATGATGGGGCCATAATGCTTTAAGTGCAAAAGGATCCTAAATTTGATCCTGATCGAGGTTGGCAGCCAGTGCAGAGATGTTAGAACTGGCATAATGTGGTCTGATCCAGGGCTGGGCAATAAATCAAAAATGTGTTGTTATTGGCATTTGTGACTTTCATCGAGATAATTTTTTTCCCTGTCAATAAATTTGATAATAAAAAAAATGAAAAGGTGTGTGTGTAGGTTGGCAACGTTCATGTCCCTTTAAGATGCTGTACCACCTTGAGTCACATAAAAATGTGACTCAGGCGATACATGTGACAGCTCCATCTAGTGGACTTTTGTTTGTACGCATACCTGTAGTTATCGTCCATTTATCGTTACCAAGGTGAAATCCTCAATGTATCATGATATTGATTTTAGGCCATATCGCCCAGCCCTAGTCTGATCTATGCGCCCCAGTCAAGAAATGCAACACAGCCTGTCAAATCCCACGAAACAAACCATTACAGTAGTCTTGTGTTGATGTTACAAAGGCATGGACAATGGTCTGCAGGTGCTTTGGCTAGATGTCCCAACAGGAAGAAAAAACATTTTACCACCAATTTCACCTGGCAGGTGTGGGTCAGTCTTAACTCCCAGGTTGATTATGGTAGGCAAGGCAGTTTTATTTTTACAGCACATTTCATACACAGAGGCAATTCGATGCACTTTCCAGGTGAAACAGCAAGAACACTGTGACAGCATTATTTAAATACACAAATTTAATTCAGATTTAAGAGTCAGATAAAAGACAAAGTTCAAGAACAAGCAGTTTCAGTGCAGAAGGTGCAGTATAAGAAACAATCATTCGTAGGCTGATGAATGCATGAAAGTTCACAATTTTGAATCATTTGTTAATAGAGCTGGGATACATTTGAGGTCATGAGGACAGTGATTCCATCTATGTGCAGCATAGTAGCTGAAAGCAGCTTCACCCTGTGTGGATCTGACCAGGGTTCCACCAGCTGGTAGTCTCCTCGAGGGATGCAAGGGCTGAACTGTCCAGACTGAGGGGCATCCCAAAGTTGTTAGCACGAAACCACAACTTCAGTTTTATCATCCATCAACATTTCGCCTTTGACAGAGAATACCAAGATTGGCAAATTTGCCACTGGTGCCCTATGCTCTTCGCACATGAAAGCAGGTTCACATTGAACACACGTTCAGACATGAGTCTGGAGGCACCGTGAAGAACATCCTCCAGCATGAACGGTGGCATTTCTTTGGGGTCCTGCACAGCTTTCCATGCGCTAACCAGAGGTAGCCTGATAGGTTCTGAGATGAGATTCCAGACCCATTGTGAGACCATATGCTGATGTGGTCGGCCCTGGGTTCCTCCTAATGCAAGACCTCACGAGGCTGGAGTGTCAGCAGCTCCTGCAAAAACAAGGCATTGATGCTATGGACTGGCCCGCCTATTACCCAGACCTGAATCCAACTGAGCACATCTGGGACATCATGTCTTGCTCCATCCACCAATACCACCTTGCACCAGTTTTCAGGAGACGGTGGATGCTTTAGTCCAGCAGATCCCTCATGAGACCATCCATCACCTCATCAGAAGCGTGCACAGGCTTGTAGAGAGATCATACAGGCAAGTGGAGGCCACACACTACTGAGCCTCATTTTGACTTATTTTCAGGACATTACATCAAAGTTGGATCAGCCTGTAGTGTTTTACCACTTAAATTTTGAGTGTGACTCAAAATCCAGAGTGTGACTCAAAATCCAGACCTCCACGGGTTAATAAACCTGATTTTCATTGAGATGTATATAAAAACAAGCAGTCTGAGCCACAATGGTCACTTCAGTTCATTTTATTTTAACTCACAAAATGTTGCTCAATCTCTAACTTATGGCTTCAACAGTTTTACTGAACTTCCTGCATATTTTGAGGTACATGTTTTTTAGTTTAACATAATACCTCTACATCATTAGTTCTCCGTTTCCACTTTATTGTGCACACCTGCACCTGGTGTAAGATATAAAAATTGTGTCACTGCTTAGTTTTATTGTGATTTGAACATCTGTCTGTGTGGATACATGGAAGTATGCTGCTGTAAGTGCATCTAAAGTGTTGCTTCTTTCTAGCACCTTATTTACATAAAACAGTGTGTTGGTCTTGTGTAAATCAGTACCCGTTGAAATGCTGGACACCTCATTGGGTGTGTCCAAACTTTTAACTGTTACAGTCGCCATCTTGTTGGAGAAGCTGTTCATGGTTTCGGAATGGATTTATAACATTTTCCTACAGGTTTAAAATCCTCAAATACAACCCCTAAAGCTGAGTAAACATTACCTAAAAGATTTGGAAACACTGAAGAATCATCAAATTGTGTGTAGCGTGAGCATCACAAACATTTATATTTTCTGAAATGCAGTGGTAAAGTCTGTAGCTGATTCATGTTTTCACAAAATGCCAAAAGAATCCATGACAGATAACAATAATGAACCCATCACCCTAAAAGATCCAAATCAGGGGAAAAGTAAAAGCAATTAAGCGAATGAAGCATAATCATTCTAACAAGATATTAAATTAAAACAATCGCCATTAAAAATGCTAACTCGACTATCAAATTATTCTGATTTTTTTTCCTCCCTCAATTGCTGAGGGGGAAATTAAAGCACCAAAAAAATCCTTACTGTAATACATTTTCTAGCAAACGTTTATTAAACTTTATAGATCAAAAGGAATGGAAGGCTTAGCAGCTTTAGAACTAGAACCCTGGTGGGTGATAAGACTGAGGAGGCTGTGGAGCACTTGGGAAACCCTCTGAAGTCTCCTCTTGAACTGTCAAATTATCTGAATACTATCGAGGAGCCTTAATGATGCATTCATCATCTTGAATTGAGTCACCCATTTCCTCTGAGGATGAGCGTCCCTCCAGTGTGAAGAGAGGGAGAGTGCTGGAGCAGCTTTGATGCGACGTTGATCCTGATTCTCTTCAGACCTCCTCCTACCATCATGCACGCTCTCTCGGAAGAGGCTCTAACGTTTCCCTTTTGTCTCTTCTGCATCTTTTTTTGACAAAGAGATGAAACAAAGATTAATAAATTAGCTCAGTTTGCTGGCAAGAGCAAGATCATAACCAAGCATCTGGCAGCATTTCTGCTTTATAAACAGGGACATAGTATTTGCAATGAGCCCTTTATTAGTCCCGGGTCAGGGATGAGGGCCTGCCCCAAGTGGAGGAGTTTAAGTATCTCGGGGTCTTGTTCACGAGTGAGGGAATGCTGGAGTGGGAGATCGATAGGCAGATTGGTGCTGCATCTGCAGTGATGCAGGCGTTGTACCGGTCTGTCGTGGTAGAGAGGGAGAGAGAGCTGAGCCAGAAGGCAAGACTCTCTTTACCGGTAGATCTACATCCCTACCCTCACCTATGGTCACAAGTTTTGGGTAGTGACTGAAAGAACGAAATTGCGTATTCAAGCGGCTGAAATGAGTTTTCTCTGCATGGTTAGTGGTCTCTCTTTTAGAGATAGGATGAGGAGCACATCCAACTGGGAGAAGCCCTCAAGGGAGACTCAGGACACGTTTGAAGAATTATTTTTCCTAGCCTGGTCAGGGAACACTTTGGGATAACCCCAGAAGAGCTGGCCCGAGTGGCTGGGGAAGAGGGAGGTCTGTGCCTCCGGATAAGCGGAAGAAAATGGATGGATGGATAGATCGCTCTGATTCGTGCATTCATGCTTGGCAGTTTAGGATTGTTGTAGCGTTGTGGATTTATGCTCTTTTATGAAAGAGAAACCATGCTACGTATTAATTCGGAATATTAATTTTAATAAATCAATAACCAAATTTTATATTGTTCAGAAGACCCAAAGGTTGTTTTCATCCATAAACTGCCGATAATATCTGAGTGTCTGTGTTTCAGTTCAATGAGGAAACAAGTTTGAAGGATTAACAGTTTTAATTCTTCAAATTAAACTAATGATTTTGAAAATTGACAAACAGGAAATAACAATCACATTGGCAACTTTGTGGGACAATCTTTTAACAGTTTATATGCTGTTCTTGCTCAAATAGACCTTCTGGTGAATTTATGAAGATTGAGAATGTTGTGATATGAATGCGTGTGTGAGTCTGATTTTGCTTCAGGAAGAAACAGGTGTCTGAGTGAAGTGATGGTTTGGATAAACTTAGGTCTTATCAGAGAACTGCATCAAACGCTAAAACCGTGCTCTGTCTCACCGAACTCTTGTGGACCCTCTTTCGGATCCGGGCCGTGGAGGATGTTGTGGTTCATCCAGATGACACCGGCGGCTGACAGGAGACGTAGGTGTCGAACGGAACCGGTCCAGAGTTGCCCTCGGTACACGTGGATGGTAGAGCGTTTTATCGATGCGCTTTCTTAAGTTAATTCACTCAGAAATCAAAAGACTCGGTAATGAGTCTGCGTTAGAAGTTGCGATTCAGCTATTCTGCCTGGCTTGGCAGAAACAGCGTGAAAGGGGGGAAGAACGAGCCAACAGGCTCTGCCCCCCCTTTGGTTTTCAGGTCTGTTCTCTCCCGTTGTCCAACACGAACTGCCTCATAAAACTGAAAACTTACCAAAAACCTCTCTTCTCAAAGCAAAACATGTGCGTCATCAAATGTGTCTGGAGTTTACTGTGGGCAGATGTGTGTGGGTGTGTGTGAATGTTTGTGTGCTTGAGTGTGAAGGTCAGTACCACACATTCAACATTATCTACTTAAGTGTGGATTCATTAATCCATTATAATTACCCCAAAGCATACTAGTCATTCATTTGATTAAACACATTTATAATGAGCAAAATGATAATGGTTATTTTAACATTAAAATCACGAAAAAGAAGTTTAAACTTTATGTTTTGACTTGGTCTGGGTACAACTCATGTAAACACATCTTCTGGTAGACTGCAAGTGGCAGATGTTATGGTTTCCTCCCAGACTCGCTGGCGTTCAGGTCTTAATCTGTGGGTGAAAGTTCTCAGCGACCCAGCTATGACCCAGCTGCGTCCAACACCACCATTGTGACAGAAAACCCATATTTCCTCACGTTACATTGTTTAGGATGTGTAGGATTGTCATCAGCTTCAAAACAGTAAGAGGCACCACTAATAGCACTTACACCCTTCTTAGCATAACTGATCTACAGAACTATAATAAGCTCAACTCACTCATGAATCAGATTGTTGTTTAAACAAAAACTCACTGATAAAAAACTGAAAGTATAAGAAATAGTAAAACATGATGCAATGCCAGCTGTATAGGGGAGGATTTGATCTAATACTCCAGTTAACAGATCAAACTGACAGCATGGGGTCCTAGCATAATGTCATCCGAGAGAGGAGGAGGACATTTGATTTTTAAGTGCCTCATACCACGCACACAAATAGCTTTGTAGCACTTATGGACAAATAATGTTTTCGATGTGACCTTTGCTATGACACACCTGATTCTAGCTGTTGCATTATCTCTTCAGCCTTCACCAGGTTCTGCAGGACCTGCTAATCACTCATTTTAAATCAAATCTGTGATGTTCAAGCAGGGAAACGTCTAAAACAGACAAGGATCTGGTACTGTTTTCTCGACGGAAGTCCCTCCAGGCCTCCTGGTTTGTTCAACGTCAGGTGGTCTCTGCCTGGACTGCCATGCCCTTGAAAAGGGGGGATATGTAGTGTAATGAAAAGCCCTGTTTTGACCTAAAGGTCATGTTGCTGCATCTGCTCTAGGGTTGTCACAGTCTGAAAATTTAACCTCACGGTTATTGTGACCAAAATTACCATGGTTTTCGGTATTATCACGGTATTTTTTTTAAACGTGCTACATTTTCACACAATTAAATAAACCCTGTATGTCAGGAAATATTGTCCTCAGTTTCTGTCTAAATTTTGCCTAAAATGTCTTATTTTGTAATTATGTTGTTTATTTGTTTACATTTTTCCCCTTTAGTCTTTAAAATAACAATATTTGCCCATAACTTCTTATTTTTTGTCTGTTTGACGTCATCATTTAAAAATATTAGATCAGATGATACTCAGTACTCAAGTAGCCTTCTAATCAGATACTTTTTACCCTTACTTGAGTAATAAACCCTATATCAGGAAAATATTGTCCTCGGTTTGTGTCCTTCCAGTGAGCTTTGCAGATGTGGGAAAATGTCATCAGGCAGTAATCATTGTTAAATTCATAATTATTCTTGGAGAGAGGCCAACTCTTATCTGCCCCTGGGAGCCCCGTAATGCATAGCGTCATTTCAACGTGGGGGTGTCCGCGACACGGTTTATATGCAGGTAGCGGCGCTGCGGCGCTGCGGCTGCTTTATATAGCGACTCGTTGCATTCTCCCCCAACCCAAATCCTCGGATCACGCATTTTAGCTAAAACGCTAATGTTAGCTTGCCTTGACTGTAGAGTTGTGGGTGATGGTCACGCAGATGTGTCATGAGATTTGAAGCGTTGCTGCCTTTCACAGACTCGTTTTCTGCACGTGCTGCAAACAGGATAGCCGTCTTCTATCAACTGTCCCTCGGCATTCTTCAAATATCCAAAAAATGCCCGTACTTCCCACTTTGTCTTCTTTGAGGGATAATAAATGTCCTGAGCGCTGCCGTCTCCTCCTTTGGCCATTATTTCAGCTTTAGCTTCAAAAAAGTTTTGGTTGTAAACAACAAAGCGCGCATGTGCTGCCGGCAACTTCAGTAGATGATACGGTGGCTGGTAAGGGTCACCGCGCCTACACCGCAGCCACGGTAACCCACAGAGATAATTTAGTTTTTTAAAAACAAGACGGTTATTATTATTGTCAACTTTTTTACCAGGGTTTACCGCTACACTGGTTACCGTGACAACCCTAATCTGCTCAAGCAGAGACATGAAGTCTCTGACACAGCGTAATCTACATGAGATGGGCCAAGGTCTTTCATGCACCAAGCTCATCTTATCTAACTGCTTGCCTCCCTCTACAGCTCAAGAGAAGACAGAGAACTCTTTAATAAATATGTAATCAAACAATGTTTGTTATTACTAATAATAATGTGAGCCCAATGTTCAATCAATCCGTGACAAGACAATGTTATTACTTGATATTATAATCCTGTGATTAGTATTTTACAAGTAATATAATCTTAAACATTTGCACTAGACACTGAAGACACGTAATGATAGTCACACGACACATTTCCTTTTGTCTGATCCAATCAGAACCTTCGTTTCTGACGTGAGGCATAGTTTTTTGTGGTGTTTGTATAATCCCTCTTTTGCTTGTCAAATTCTGATTCGCCAGTAAACCAAAATATGACAATTATAAAACTACTCCACGCCACCCTTTTCTTTAGTTCAACGCATTCTAGAGAAGTCCCGGACAGGCCATCTGGACTTCCTCTTAAGCAAAAGAACCTCGACAAGCTGGATAAAATCTGTTGCAAGTTACACCTGACCGCAACGGTTCCTTCAGAATAAAGCTGAACCTCACGACCCCTTCAAGGTCTCCCTGACGCCAGTGATAACCTATCGTGACCTGGGAGCATTTCAAGACTAGTTTGGTCGGCACCTCTGCTTTTCTACCAGCTCGGTTCCAAAGAGGGTCCAAGGACCTAGACCAGGGCTCGGCAACCTGTTCCCATCAAAGAGCCATTATTACCCGTTTCCCACAGTAAAGAAAACACTGCGAGCCACAGCAGCCACGGCGTTGTGGGCGGGGCCTACCCTCAGACAGCAGAGAGCTGCTTTAACCAATCACAACAGGTGACAGCAGCCGGTACCGGTACATCGTGTACGTCAAAGTTATCTTTCATAAGATGATAATCAATAAAACGATTTATATAAAATGGATCCAGAAGTTGTAGCCCGTCTCTGCCTACAATATTTTGATATTTTTCACCCTGTTGGTGGTTTTACTGAGCAGGTGCCACTTTTGTCATACGTTTCTTTTTAAAACATGTTTAGACTGTTCAGAATACAAATCCAGGCTCTGTCACGTTTGACTGTTGTAATTAAACTTCGTAGGTGGGGAAGGTCAGAAAAAGATCCGATCATTTTGTTTTTCCCTCATTT